TTACACAATGACAATAAACATTACACTGTTGTCTTTAACACGTTTACTTATACAATACAATAAATTAATTTAGTAATCAGCAAATGATGTAAGGATTAGTGTCTGCACTGAGCCTTATGAAGTACATTTATATGTTTTACCGAAGATATAGCTAAAACTGCTGTGGCATTATTTCCAGGGCCTGGTGTAACGTAACGTAATGCAAAGCTTAGCAATTGACTTGTGCGATCGTTTGCACATACAACTTGAATAGTACGATCAGATCGTTCGCTAAGCTTTGTGTCACAGGGCTCAGGTCTGCTCTGCAATCCCCTTGTGTCATTTAATTTCTAAACCCCTTTTACTGACCACGCAGGTACAGGTAGTGCCTGCTTTGATTGTTTGCAGAAACCACACAAGATGTGTGAGTCTGTGGCTGCTAACTACCAAGCTCAAGCATCTATCAAAACGTATGGAGCTAAATGGACCCTATTGAAATTGAAGAAAATGCATCAGTCATGCTCTGTGCAAACAAGGTATTACATCTATATCCTATATCTCTGTGCAGCCGGTATCGTTCCACCACTGTGCATTGAATTAAGTGTGTGGACCGTAACAGAGCTGAAAATGACAGTGAATTGACTACCGGTACTTTAGCAAATAAAACAGAGATCTAGTAAATCATAATGATATAGTAATTTCTTTGCTTTACTAGAAAGAACATACTGGTAGTCTTTGTTGTATTATACTAGTCTAACTAGGCAAAATATGTGGTACTTTAGCAGAGTTAAGGTGGGTGTAAAAAAAAAGGTGTTTTTACGTCATTCTCCATAGAACATTTTGGGGTATTAGAACACGCACTGTTCAGTGACCCAAACGTTTTGATATGAGACTTGTTTTAATAGTTCCAACATATTTTCTGTTTGGTGCCACAAGGGCATTAGCTCTGTGTAAAAGGAGTGTAACCAATGCCCTACTTGCTCCAAACAGATGTTTCAAATAGAATTCCATTTTCTATACCTGTTTGACAATTGATATTTGACATTATTAGCGGTTAGGTAAAAACAAACAAATAAAAAACAATCAATCAGCTTTATCATACTATCCACACAAAATAGGATCATGAGTGGCAAAGCTACCGGTATATGGAAGGGGGAGGGATGGACCAGGGTGTAGCACCCTCGCTCCCCCTCCCCCACCCCGTCTGAATGGCACAAACAACAAGATATCGGTAAAATATGTTTTTGTTAAATCGAGGTGTTATCACTAACAATGTCCTATGATCTAAACTTTGTACTACGGACTGGTCAAATGTCCAGACCGACCCTTAGAGCAATCTAATCTAATCTATAAGACAGAACCAGTGACCACAAAATAAACAGCAATGGGCAATGGACTTGCCATAGATAGATATCAATGGTGCCTGCAAAGAAATATGCCCTATTCTGGTTCTCATGGAAACCTCAAAATATTTCTTCAACTTGTCGTTTAATTTTCAACTTTAGCTAAGCTATGAAAGCTTATCAAGTATTTGAAGATACCAGTACTACAGTACATTGTACTGTAGGCTTTTCTGTTTATTTTTCTAAAATATTTGGATGTCTATGTCTCTATGAACTAAACAACCTGGAATGTAGGCCTATAGAATTTCTACTGAAAATATAATTATACATATAGAAGTATATATTTTCTTTGCTATGTACAGTATTATGCCTCCATTTCAAAAGTCAACTGGAATGGACAGGAAGGGATTAATTTTTGTGATCCCTCAAATGTGTTTTACACGGTTGAGGCACATAATTAATAACTAGTTAACCCTTTATATGCCACACAAATAATTTCCCTGTGCTACATTGTATTTATCTAAGGATAACTGGGTACCAAAGGCTTCTAGATGAACTGTTTCCAGTGCAAGTATTATCTATAAGTGTTAAAAGGGTTGTCATGACCAGAAATGGGTACTTTTGCTTATCATGATATACAAAACAATTCTTTCACTCTGCACAGTAGCGCTTCATTTCAACTATGGCCTTGCATGGTGTCTTGTTTCCAGCTTCTTATCTCGGTATCTTGTCATTCTGGTGATGCCAGCAACAACCAAAGGAGATGATTACTGTGGCACATTATATGTATGCTATATAGCAGCATCAGTATACTTTTTGTGTATTAACATTTTTCAGACGACCTCTATTGATTCTCAACATTTCAAACACCACTGTACAAACTGAACCCAGTTCACTCACAATCGGTACTTTAATTAGTGACAATTGATGACACCTAAATAGCAGTAAAATACAATCTTTTCAAATTATTTGAAAATCCATATCGTGAGTCTTATGTCAAACTTGCCAATCAGCCACTTCGTATTCATTTTGTGCAATTTTTTTTGTCTACGCGCATGCGCGCTGAATCTCCATGTAAAATCGTATACACAAATTCGGTCGTAATGCGTAACAGAGGAGAATCAGCGGCAATATCTTCGGTTTTTCTACATGATTTTGTGCTGCGAATCGGCTGGAAATTACAAAACTGAATTATTACAGTCAGGCATTAACGATAAGAGTATGATTTTGGAGCATATCGCATTTAAAAGAAGTTAGGCCTGTACAATACGATAGATAGTCACTGTAAAACAATGTATTTTAACAATAATTTTCATTTCTGCCCATTTTGTTTTGTACACGTGTGTTAAAAATTGATGCCTCTCAGCACATCGGCTGGATGAGGTCCATCGCGTTTACAGTTAGACTTCATGCATTGGCGGAGTGATTGTATGCAGGTGTCGTAGGCGAGAATCAGGCCATGAAGGTCTTTCGACCATGAATAGAGCTGTGCATTTTCGGACGAATTGTAGTCTCAACTTGCAGACTTCAGATTTTTATTCATAATATTTATTTTACTTCCAAAATTGATGAAGAAAAGACAATACAGAGAAATAACAAAAATAGATAATAAATGATTTCATGTCGATAGATACATGCATGTATGCCACCAGAGAATCTGAGTTACAGTTTGTACATCTAATGTGTTTTTTAGGACAATTAATACGGCCAGAGATTCTTGGATGTGAACGCAACTGCACATTAATGACAAGTGGTTTCCTTCTCAAAAAAACGAGCCATGAATTTAGAATTATAATTTATACCCTGGTATCAGGCTATCAGCGACAAAGGAGGCGTACCATGGATTTATCAGGTGGTGTTGTAGGCCATTAGGTACAAAATTATGCAAAAAAATCAAAATCTCAAAAATTGAGATACAAGGTTTTGTTACCCCACCGACGATATGTCTTTTTTGAAATGCCTCAAATTATTTCATTCATTAGTTACAAATAATTGTATTTCAAGAGAATACGAATTGAATCATAAGTTGTTGCTTTCTAGGACAACATTCTGGCATAATTTCTCTACCTAACAACTTGAAATATTTAATTTTCATTCCGACTTGAAATACAATTTTTTTCAGGTAAATGTAATAATTTGTATCAAAGCTAGCACTAAAGTGCAAGTATTTGTTTGATCTGTAATCTGTCTGCAATTCTTGCTATCGCCAATAGAGTAAAATAACCTGTGTGTTACGTTTAGGCGCCATTTCAAATGCACTCTCGGTCTTCTCGAATAATTTGGTGACCAAGTCGTCCCTATTTTCACGAAGTGACAGTAGTGAATGAAAATCGCATACAATTTGCGTGCGGATTTTGCTTTCGGATTTTGCTCACTACCGTCACTTCGTGAAAATAGGAACGAAGTGCGAAAACTAACAGACTACAGAACTAGCTGCAATAAAGAGTTCGTTGGTTTGTTGGAGGACATTGTTTCAATCTGGTTGTCGATTAGACCGAATTTTCCGTCTCTTTCGTTCGTTAGCCTCTTATTGGGGTAGGGTCGGCTCTCTCTTTAGAGACGGAAGCCGTTTATACACATGTCCTTGCTAACGCCACGGCCAGTTCTGGTCGTAGCGTTTTGCCCCCAAAATCCCCCAAAATGTCATTTTACCTCGAGCATGTTTATTGTAAATTAGGCCTAGGCTATAATAAATCAGTTCCACTTACCAACTTGACTGAAATAATCAGTTTAATAGTCCCTTTTTAGGAAATTATGGGTCAAAATCGAAATCCATTTTGAAAATCTTTTTCAACATGGATTCCGATTTTGACCCATAATTTCCTAAAAGGGACTATTAAACTGATTATTTCAGTCAAGTTGGTAAGTGGAACTGATTTATTATAGCCTAGGCCTAATTTACAATATAACATGCTCGAGGTAAAATGACATTTTGGGGGATTTTGGGGGCAAAACGCTACGACCAGAACTGGCCGTGGCGTTAGCAAGGACATGTGTATAAACGGCTTCCGTCTCTAAAGAGAGAGCCGACCCTACCCCAATAAGAGGCTAACGAACGAAAGAGACGGAAAATTCGGTCTAGTTGTCGATATGATTTGGAGTGTCGATCTTTCTCTCGTTTTTTTGTTGCTACCAATTACCATCACAAAAATTGAAGAACCTAGAAATAACACATTGCACATGCATAATACGTATACCAGTAGAATGCAAGTTCTGGAAGTGGCTCCAAATTACAATGATCCAGGCATTTCGGGTGTATTGATATGGTGGGAAAGACTTCCTTTTGCGACAGCCACCCGAATTGAATACCAGACTGCAGTGTCACCCGCACCCATGCACTAACTCCAGATCCAGGGAGCTCCGCCGCCGAAGCTCCTTGAATTACCCATGCACCTGCCGCAGCAGGGTGCTGAGAGCTGAGCGTTGGTAGCGGAATTCGAAAGTCAAGAAAAAGTCACACATAGGAGCATCACTATCCTGGCTGTGTAGTAAAAGCTGTGCTTTTGATTCTCATCATTTCAAACACCACCACTGCACAAAACTCAACTGATTTCACTCAAAATACGCATTAGCATTGACTCTCTAGCTTTGCTGGAGTGGAAAAAGTCGGTGAAATTACCAAAATAAATGCGCTTACCGCTGTAACACTATTGTGTAAAGATCTACAGTAACACATACCAGGTGAAAGAGAAGAGGTAAATGCTGACTTGCCGGGGTGCAATCTTGAGTAGTTTTGTCGATAAAACGAGCATTTGAGAGCATTATCTTCTAGACTCCCCTTACCCGGTGAGAGATAACATACACACAGCTGTTCTCGCACGCTGAAGCTAGCCGGTTACGTTGGCGAGGGCACGTACCTCGCCGTTACACGTGCAGCTAGATCGGTCAGCCAATCAGAGACCGGCGTAGGTGGAATTTCCCCCAAACCCTCGCACCACCCTCGCCGATCCCTAGAAATCTTAAACAAACAATGACGTAGGGTTTATTTAATTTATATAAGATTAGTCATTTGTGCCAAAGTGCGCATGAGCGTCATAGAGGAAATTGCAGTCATCGTTATTATTATGTTATGTGTGCATATTTTGTAGACCCATATTTTAGGTGTCTATTATCAGAAATATTTTGACAAGCTCATCTGTTCGATAATGTTTAATATTCCTTTGTCTTTTCATTATTATAGGTTTTCCCGTGCAATTTAATCAGAGTTGCATTCGAATTCATGAAAAGGTGTACAATTTTAAACGATTTTCGTCTAATCTCTGCTCTCAATGTTATTCTTTGAGCATTTAATTTTGTGTTATATCATTGCTTTTAAATCTTATTTCATGTAATTTAGAGAGAAATCCATTCAATTTGATGACGCGTAGTTGTCATTCAATTTCGTTCCAGCTGGATAGACGTTGAATTTCAATTTAATTTTTGTTTTGATTTTATTTTATTTCTGCATTTTTTCCATATAGGCACACACTTTCGCACTTTGAACGTTCGAATTAAATAAACATAAACAAGTTCTGTAGTTCTATTTGTTCATTTAATCTATTTCTCTGTTTTTAACTTTATTATTTCATTTCATTTTTAAAGTTTCATAATGTTTATTTTAATCATATTTTAAACATTTCTTTTCTTTCTTTTCGAGACATTCATGTACTCTCCTCGAACCGCCGTCACAGTCGTGATTATACGAGCTCTTGTTTCAATGACGGTTTGTCAGAGGAATGATATATTTCAATAAAAGGCAAAGGTCCCACTTCAAGGTACATACAACTTGCGTTATTTATTCAAAAAGAAGCAAATTGCAAAAAACATAAAAAGTGAAAAATGCTAAAAATGCTACAAATGCTTGCCTTTTCTTGATTTTGAACACCTAAACGTTCATCAGGGCGTTGCAGGTGCGGGTTTAATGGAGTTACGTGCATTCTTCAATTTGAATCCTGGGGGATAAAATAAAAACGTAAATTTGAAAAATTTGAATTGAAGGCCCAGGAAGAAAAAAAACACACAGGCTATGAGTACACAGCATGCAAGACTAGACAGACACAAATCTCCACGTCAACACCCCCCCCCCCCCGGCATAAAAACGTAACCCCAACCGCCAATGTAAAGAAGGCTGCAAAATCCTGTTTAGGCCATCAAATGCCTTAAAGATGCAAAATTTTCCAACTAAGTTTGTAAGTAAAATTTGAATTGAAGTCCCGGGGAGAAAAAAAATCACAGGCTATGAGTACACAGCACGCAAGGCTAGCCGGACACAAATCTTCACCTCAACAGCCCGCCCCCCCCCCGGGCCCCCTCTCTCCCTTTTCTCTCTCTCTCTCTCTTTCTCTTTCTCTTTCTCTCTAGGCCAGTACGCACAAACTGCGCCGTGACTATGAGGAAGGTCAATATAAATTGTAGTAATAATCGGTTCAATGTTGTTGTTGTTACAGTTTTTAATTTTGTATTTTGCTTGTCTTTTTATATAGATTCGTTTATTGTTATGCACTGAATGGCTGATTATTTTATTTGTTTAGTCTTTGATTTTTTAAAATCTATTCATTCATTTATTTATTTGTAGGCCTATACTAGTTTGTTATGCATTTATCGTTACAAACAAAAGACCTGAAATGGGATAGGGGAATCCCCCCCCCCCCCCCACTCCGAGAACGGACGGACCCCATGCGTGTTACGCTCTTTGAACGTTCGAATTTAATAAACATAAACAAGTTCTGTAGTTCTATTTGTTCAAGTTGTATTTAATCTATTTCACTGTTTTTAAATTTATTATTTCATTTTATTTTAAAGTTTTATAATGTTTATTTTAATAATATTTTAAAAATTTCTTTTCTTTCTATTCGAGATATTCATGTACTCTCCTCGAACCGCCGCCATAGTCATGTATAAATGAAAGTATGCGTATGAAAGTAGAGTTATACGAGCTCTTGTTTCAATGACGGTTTGTCAGAGGTATGAGATATTTCAATAAATTAAGGCAAAGGTCCCATTTCAAGGTACATAAAACTTGCGTTATTTATTCAAACAGAAGCAAATTGCAAAAAACATAACAGTAAAAAATGCTAAAAATGCTACAAATGCTTGCCTTTTCGTGATTTTGAACACCTAAACGTTCATCAGGGCGTTGCAGGTGCGGGTTTAATGGAGTTATACGTGCATTCTTCAATTTGAATCCTGAAATCGCATGCTAATATAATTAATTAGCTTTCTGGGCGGGAAAAACTATAATAAGCTATGACAATGCAGCTACCAACAGTCGGTTTTTACACAATTTGAAGAGACTATTCCCCCCCCCCCCCAGGAGGGGGGGGGGGTAAAATAAAAACGTACATTTGAAAAATTTGAATTGAAGGCCCAGGAAGAAAAAAACACACAGGCTATGAGTAAACAGCATGCAAGGCTAGACAGACACAAATCTCCACGTCAACACCCCCCCCCCCCCCGGCATAAAAACGTAACCCCAACCGCCAATGTAAAGAAGGCTGCAACATCCTGTTTAGGCCATCAAATGCTTTTAAGATGCAAAATTTTCCAACTAAGTTTGTAAGTAAAATTTGAATTGAAGTCCCAGGGAGAAAAAAAATCACAGGCTATGAGTACACAGCACGCAAGGCTAGCTGGACACAAATCTTCACCTCAACAGCCCGCCCCCCCCCCCCCCCCGGGGCCCCCTCTCTCCCTTTCTCTCTCTCTCTCTCTCTCATTCTCTTTCTCTTTCTCTCTAGGCCAGTACGCACAAACTGCGCCATGACTATGAGGAAGGTCAATACAAATTGTAGTAATAATCGGTTCAATGTTGTTGTTGTTACAATTTTTAATTTTGTATTTTGCTTGTCTTTTTATATAGATTCGTTTATTGTTATGCACTGAATGACTGATTATTTTATTTGTTTAGTCTTTGATTTTTTTAATCATTTTTTTACATTTATTTATTTGTTGGCCTATACTAGTTTGTAATGCATTTATCGTTACAAACAAAAGACCTGAAATGGGATAGGGGCCTTAAGGGGAATCCCGCCCCCCCCCCCACTCCGAGAACGGACGGGCCCCAAGCGTGTTACGCACTTTGAACGTTCGGATTAAATAAACATAAACAAGTTATGTAGTTCTATTTGTTCACGTTGTATTTAATCTATTTCACTGTTTTTAACTTTATTATTTCATTTCATTTTTAAAGTTTCATAATGTTTATTTTAATCATATTTTAAACATTTCTTTTCTTTCTGTTCGAGATATTCATGTACTCTCCTCGAACGGTCGGTTTTTTACACAATTTGAAGAGACTTCCCCCCCCCCCCCCTTAGGGAGCAAACGCCCCTGGGATAATATAGAAACGTAAATTTGAAAACTTTAAATTGAAGGCCCAGGAAGAAAAAAAATCACAGGCTATGAGTAAACAGCACGCAAGGCTAGCCAGACACAAATCTTCACCTCAACACCCCCCCCCCCGCCCCCCCCCCCCCCGCCCACCCCCTCTCTCTCTCTCTCTTTCTCTCTCTCTCTCTTTCTCTTTCTCTTTCTCTCTAGGCCAGTACGCACAAACTGCGCCATGACTATGAGAAAGGTCAATACAAATTGTAGTAATAATCGCCTCAATGTTGTTGTTGTTATAGTTTTTAATTGTGTATTTTGTTTGTATGTTTACATGTTTATATATTCGTTTATTGTTATGCACTGAATGCCTGATTATTTTATTTGTTTAGTCTTTGATTTTATCTTTCAATTTTTAAATCTATTCATTTATTTATTTATTTGTAGGCCTATACTATTTTGTTATGCATTTATCGTTACAAACAAAAGACATGAAATGGGATAGGGGAATAATGAATATATTTGTCTGCAATAAAAATAATAATGAGATACTAAACAAATTTCCTTTGAGTTTGAAAGTGTCTAAAAAAATAAAAGATCGAAGTATCGTTACTCCAACATTTTGGAAAGAGTTGGTTAGTGTATCTTTCTGTTTTTTTTTTTAAAAGAAAGTAACGAGGAATCAACAACAAAACCATTTATAATGAAAAGGGAATGGTCATTCGAATAGCTCTTGCCCGGGGGGGGGGGAGACACCACTCTGAAATTGAATTAGCAAAACGAAAATGATCATCAGATTTTTTGAGGGCATTTTTTCCTTCAAGTTCACTAAACAACAAGTATCAATTAGATTCATTGCAATAGGATGTTACACTGTTCGGTCCCATTCGAACTTATTTACTAAAATTTTAAGAAGCTACGAATTCCCTTTAAGTCATTAAAACTTGCATGCCGAATTATCTTGGGAAGAAATTATACCAAATGGCCTTACAAAAATGTGACCTGCTAACCCTTTAGGCGAAAAAGAAGAAGTTATGTTTGGCATTTGATTTGCACACAATTTGGGAAAAGAGTCAGTTCGCGATCCCTAAAACGAGAAACCCACCACCACTTGAGAAATAGCCTACCAGCGAAGAGCACATTGTCATATCTCAAAGACTTACTAAATACTGCATGACTTCTATTTAGTCATATTGCATGTGGGTGATTGAGCAATTCATCGTTATTAATTAGTTGTGTGCATGTAATGTGTGTAACTCAACTTACCAATCAATGGAAAAAACAGCAATAAATTGTTTTTCAAGATAATTCAAAATTATTGTTGTTTTCTTTTTGTGTTGTTGTTTGTTCTGTTTTGTCTCTCTGTTTATTTTTGTCTGCACTTTGTAAACCACGGTTCGAGTTTTTTTTTTTTTCTATAATTGAATGACATGTGATTCTTTTTTTGTAATGCAAATATTGTTTTTGATGTAAACGATTTGTTATTAAATTGTAGGCACTGTATGTTGACAATTTATGTTTTACCATGTTCAGTTTGTTCACAAAAAATATGTTAACGTTGATTTTAGATTATTCATATAATTTGTATAATACGGTTTCAAATAGTTAAAAGAAAAAGAGAAAAAAATATTGATTTATTTTTTATTTTTTATTTCATGGCCAACAAAATCACCAATAAAATAAATACCCTTCCCCCCCCCCCCTCCAAAAAAAAAGACGACAATTGAATATATACTTCCTAGTTATAACGGCTCTAAGTTAATGTTATTATCGACATGGAAATGTAACGTACCCTTCATACGGACAACTTGATGTCTATTTAGCCAATTTGTATTTCATTCGAGAGTATTAATAATAATACAAAACTCTTTGTAATACTAAAATTTTCGAGATTATGCTTTTTTCAGACGCATATGGAAACGTTTGCTTGGATATGTCTCATAAAAGAAGTTGATCATGCCTGCACAATTAACTCCCACACAGTATTGGGTGCATGCACTGCATGGGTCCCGGGCCACTGGCTTCATCGGGCAGGTTAATGATTAAATTCCGACAACAATATACTGTAATATCGAAATTATCATTCCCCGTTTGTTATGTATTTTTATTGTCAAACATAGGCTGGTATGTGTCCTATAATTATTTTGTAATAATATCATTTATCACTGTATGTACAAGCTACATTTTTAATTGTTAATTTGCGATTACTCGCGAAACTTTACCACTTGATGATTTTTCTTGTTTAAATAATTTGTTTATTTATGTATTGTGGAAAAAATATTCATGTATAGGTATGATGTTTACTAATAAAATTCAAAAAATTCAAAATTTAGAAAAATTCACTTGTTCATGCAAAAAATGCTAATTTGTTCTATGCACGCAAGTCAGATTAAGTGGATGATAGAGCGTTTCCATATTACTATATGAGATTAGGGCAATATATATATATATATATATATATATATATTTGTTTATCATTTTCAAGTAGCTTAATCTGCAATATTCACTTGTTCTTATTACTCGGATTTATTTAATGCCTGATGCTAAAAGTATTAATTACAAACTTTTAAAAATATTATATTGGCCATACAGGACGCAAGTAAAAACACATGTATGCATGCTTAAGAATGACATTTTTGTGTATCACCAATAAATATATGAACACGAACAAATTGTTTTATTTGATGCAATTTGTGTTTCTGTACAACGTGAAAATGCCGAATTCAGCAAAATGGCTATGATTCAATGTTTGTAATAAAAACATTTATTGAACTAAATTTAACATTTTCTGACAAGCTGTCTATATTAAATAATGATTTATTACATTAAATCAAGAAAGAAAGTAACACATAAACATGGAAAGAATGAAAGAACGGAGGGGATGAAGAATAAAGAGAGAGAGAGAGGGGGGGGGGGGGGGAGAAAGATAATAAATACAGAACGAACTTGGTTGACTGATATAGATACCGTATAAACATACCGCATAGATAGATAGAAAGATTAGACAAATACATATATATATATATATATATATATAGAGAGAGAGAGAGAGAGAGAGAGAGAGAGAGAGAGAGAGAGAGAGAGAGAGAGAGAGAGAGAGAGAGAGAGAGATTATTATTCATCTGCCATTTTTTGTAATTTCTTCCTGTCGAAGAATTTCTAAATAGTCCTATTATCGTAAGGGGCGCAATACATCACACACAGGTAGTGTCCCTTTACACCCAGGGACACCACTGAAATGAAAATGTGAGCGACACCCAGTTTGCACTTCTCGGGTATAAATGTTAAAATGTAACTATTATATATCATCAATGACCAATAGAAACCTAGGTGATGTACACCCCAAAAGTGCCCCCTTTTCTATAATATGTCATTTATTGAACATGTATCTAGCATATCAAAGTCTGTGAGATATCAACTGCGGAACCTTGGGTTCATACGAAAATCTTTGACTCAAAAAGCATGCGAACAATTAACCCATGCATTCATCTCATCCCGCTTAGACTTTTGTAATTCTATTCTATTTGGACTCACAAAACAGCAGCAAGACAGACTGCAATCCCTCCAAAATTCCAGTGCAAGACTCCTTACTTTCACACCAAGAATGTCTTCTATTACGCCTATATTACGCTCTCTTCACTGGCTACCTGTCCAGAAAAGGGTCCACTTCAAAATTATGTTACTTGTTTATCGGGCTCTCCGTGGAATTTCGCCACAATACATTAAAGACTCACTACACCCCTACAATCCAACTCGTACCTTAAGATCGGGAAGTGATAATTTGCTGCAAATTCCCCGTACCCGTCGTTCATGGGGAGACCATGCTTTTTCGCATGCAGCAGCCAAATTATGGAATAAGCTTCCCTCATCACTTCGCTGTATTGCAACATACTCCACCTTTAAAACTCATCTTAAGACTTACCTATTCCATCTGTAACCCAGTATTTCCTTAGGTTGAATAAGTTTATTCTACTAAATCCATAATTGACATGTTATTTGTATATATATATATATATGAAATTAATTAGTTGTCACCCTTTAGTCTCATTGGCTGCCCGTGTGGGGCCTGTTGGCCTAGATGCTAGAGCTTCTGTGAATAATGTGCTGACTGGGCTAGTCCCTTAAATTGTCAGTGAACGGAGCAGCTGGAGGGCACCGGGCCCCATCGGGCAGAGCTGAGCATCGAAATGGGTCATAACAAAAAATATTGCAAAAAAAAAATTGTAAAATTATTTACTTTTCCTGTATCAAAGAGAACTGTTGCTGAGCTAGCGCCATGAGCGTCCCTGGACGGTGTGTGCGCTCTCTAAGTTTACACTATTATCATTATTATTATTATTATTATTCTATCAATAAAAGCACCTGAAAATATTGATTACCTACCGGTATATACTTTTTATTTCTTCCTTTCTTTTATAGTCAGTAATTAAGATTTTTAAATAAAATAATAGTAGGACTACTTCCTTTATGCGTACATCAATATGGTTAGACGGATTTGTGCTCCTGGAAAATCATGGATCCGCCCCATCTCAATCAATGCTCAAATTGTAAGTGGTGTAGCCAAGGATACATGGGGAAAATGGTCATGGGGTGGTGCACCTACCCCCCC